AGGTGATTCTTTTAATTTAGTTGCTAACCTACATATTAAATTCGCTACTGAATGGTATATAAATTTATGGTGCATAAACATAATCTCTAAAAATGAGGGAAATACATTCCAGAAAACTGTTAAATTTAGTGTTCACAGTAGTATGACAACCAAATTTCATGTAAGTACAACTCTTAATTTCATTATTGCCTAACAGTGATACAACAAACCCTGTGAAAAACTGGTATTTTTGAAGTTGTATTCAATCTCCTAGGTCATTATGACACTGTTCAATGGTTTTTAACAGCAACATATCTACTAGTAGTCTAGGACTACTGACTAACAAACTTTCAGTGGTTCCATAAACATTTAACTATCACTGGTGAAATCTGCCTGTTTATGGAAATAATATAATTTTTCTTGATATTATTTGAATGAGTTCAAAAATGATCTTAAAGGGCTGGCATTGTGGTGTAGCAGGTTGAGTCATTGCCTGCAATACTGGCATCCCATATGGTCACCGGTTTGAGTCCTGCCTGTTCCACTTCCAATCTCAGTCCCTGCTAGTGCACCTGGGATGGCAGCAGAGGATGGTCCCTGCACTCATATGGGGGACCTAGAAGAAGCTCCTGGCTCCTGGCTCCTGGCTCCTGACTTCAGCCTGGCCCAGCCCCAGTTGTTGCAGCCATTAGGAGAGTGAACCACAGTTGGAAGACACCTCTCTCTCTCTCTGGAACTCTGCCTTTCAAATAAGTAAAATAAATCTTAAAAAAAAAGTGATCTTCAAACATGCTATGTTTGAATTAAAATAATATAAGATCTTATTTAAAATCATGTATTTTTAAATGAACCTAAAAATTGCTAATACAAAAGAAAGACAAAACGTTTTTAATTTAAAGCAATCGGTCTTCCATCTCCAGTAACTCCCTTGTATGAGAGTTTAATTTGCTAATTGGACTGATGATACCTGCCTTCATTGTGAGTTATGAGTAATTAGATGTTACTACTGAACTACTAAGAGGATGGGATCCCCAAGGGCAGTCAACCAGATCATTATCTAAAGCAAAGCAAACTAATTATCACCACAAAGTTCCAACTACAGGACTTGATCTAAACATCTAGCAGACTATTTGGGCCAAATCCCTTGTGCTTAGTGAATTCATACCATACAGTATTCGTAGAATGTTAAAGTGGGCTTTAATAGAATAAAAGTGAACTGATCAGAAAATGTGTACAGAGGGAAATATGTTTTAGAGAATTTCTTATAAAGCAAAGAACATGGAAGTCTAAATACAAAGTTGAGACAACCATTCTCAGGTGACCTTACTTTGGAACTCTTGGGAAGCGAGGATATTCTAGAGCACCTTCCTTTTATACAGCTATGGAAAACTGTTCTGCCTCTCCCCCAGAAGAGATAGCTCTAGTCTTTGGGGATTAGGAAGAAAAGAAGTCAATGCATCTTAGACTGCTGTGTGTTACACTGGACAACAGAACAATGAAGCTTAAAGAAAGATGGGGAAAAGAACTATTTTGGTGAACTTCACATATACTTATGATTTATTTTAGTTCCTAATAGCTGTCAAGACACTATATTCAGTGAGATTATCTGTTCTGTGGTCCAAATAACTGAATTACAAATAAACTTGTAGAATGTCACTTTTTTAAAATTTGGCGATACATAAAGATGTCAATGTTTGAATACATTGTAGTAATGAGATTACAAAGTTTTCCTAAATGTCTATTAACGTAGGGAATCCTGACAGAACACAGGATTTTCAAGACTCCAATACATACAGAATACCTATGTTGGTCACACACACTTAGATATTGCCTTTGATCATGCAACTGTGTCACTTTTTTCTGCTTTATTTCCCTGACAAGATGGTCAAGATTCAGCCTTACTCACAGAAGATGCTGTGTTGTGTACCCCTCTGGAATCTTGCTTTGCAACTTGAACACAGGGGAGCCAGGACTTCATAATGAGGGTGGTGGAGAGGAGTAAGAAGCAGGCCTCTGCACTGAGTATCTGTTTCAGAGCAAAGAGAAATAATGTGAAATTAGCCTGTTGATTGACATAAATTGTGATCCTGCATTTATGTGCACATTAGTTCATTTTATCAAAGTTATTTCCTTTAAATTGGCAATTGATACAAGATGAATTATCCAAATAACAACAGACATAGAATATTCTACATTATTTTGTCTTTCTAGTTAGCATTCAAAGGCATTTCTTAGATGGAAATGCTGTTTCTCCCTTTAAGTAAAAGTGACTTACTGGAGTCTCCAGTGATTAATGTAATAAATGTCTATTGAATGAGCACTGGCATGTCTCTAACCAGAGCCTCACTCAAAGCTTGACTCCTCACTACCCTCCAAGAGAGAAAAACAATCCTACAAGTCGCTCATATTTTATAGGTGAGGAAATCCAGTTTGTATAACCCACCTACATTCATCCCCGAGAGAGACCTCCATCCCAGGTCTACTCTGACTCCAACTCCTACAACTTTTGCTTTCTATAATCTGATCTCAATACCCCTATTAGTTACAGGAAGAACAAGATAAGGTGAATTTTTTTTAAACTTTTATTTAATAAATATAAATTTGCAAAGTACAACTTTGGGATTATAGCTGCTTTTTTTCCCCCATATCTACCCTTCCACCTGCAACCATCCCATCTCCCACTCCCTCTCCCATCCCATTCTTCATCAAGATTCATTTTCAATTATCTTTATATATACATATATATATATATGATCAATTTAGTATATACCAAGCAAAGATTTCAACAGTTTGCACCCACACAGAAACACAAAGTACAGTTATACCGTTAATTCACATAGTACAACACATTAAGGACAGAGATCCTACATGGGGAGTAAGTGCACAGTGAATCCTGTTGTTGATTTAACAATTGACAGTCTTGTTTATGGCATCAGTAATCACCCTAGGCTCTTGTCATGAGCTGCCAAGGCTATGGAAGTCTTTTGACTTATTTAGACAAGGCCCTAGTCAAAGTGGAAGTTCTCTCCTCCCTTCAGAAAAAGGTACCTCCTTCTTTGATGGCTTGGTCTTTCCGCTGGGATCTCACAGAGATCTTTCATTTAGGTATTATTTTTTGTTTGCCAGAGTGTCTTGGCTTTCCATGCCTGAAATACTCTCATGGGCTCTTCAGCCAGATCCAAATGCCTTAAGGGCTGATTCTGAGGCCAGAGTGCTATTTAGGACATCTGCCATTCTATGAGTCTGCTGTGTATCTCACTTCCCATGTCGGATTGTTCTCTCCTTTTTAATTCTGTCAGTTAGTATTAGCAGACACTAGTCTTGTTTATGTGATCCCTTTGACACTTAATCCTATCATTATGATCAATTATGAACAGAAATTGATCACTTTGACTAGTGAGATGGCATTGGTACATGCCATCTTGATGGGATTGAATTGGAATCCCCTGGCACATTTCTGGCACTGCCTTTAGGGTTAAGTCCGAGTGAGCATGTGCCGAACTGTACATCTCCTCCCTCTCTTATTCCCACTCTTATATTTAACAGCGATCACTTTTCAGTTAAATTTGAACACCTAAGAATAATTGTGTGTTAATTAAAGAGCTCAAGCAATGGTATTAAGTAGAACAAAAAAATACTGAAAGGAATAAAGTATTAAGTTGTTCCTCAACAGTCAGGACAAGGGCTGATCGAGTCATTGTTTCATATTTTAAGCTAAACTATATCTGAAAATATCTCACCTACCGTTCTTCATAGTAAAAATTAGAAAGTTAAATATTGTTTTACTTGATACATCTGTGAAATATAGTTACATAGTAGTCAATAAAAAAGGAATTAAGGTTTCTTTAAAGGCCAATATTAACAAGCACAGGAATAAATCCTTCCATACAGAGAAACTCCTATATAGAGTAATTCTGACATCTGCTAAATTGGATAGCAGGAAGGGATCATAAATCCTACATGAATCCCTGTCACTTCAGATCAGGGGAAAAGACTCAATAATATTATGGCCTTTGATTTCAGATGTACAGAGAAGTTTTGAAAAGTGAAAAATGCAGAGCATACTCCATTTCTATGAATATGAAGTTATACTTGTCAGAAACTACAGTAAAGCCCTCATAATGTCTTAGATATGGGAGAATGAAAGCAGAGAATGTAAAATATGCAAGCACATTCCCTACAGAGAGCCACCAATTGCACTTATTTGGCATGAGAAGACCTGAGATATTCACATTTTTTATCACTGAAAGTAAGAAATATTTTATTCCATAAATAAATTACCTGATTTGATGTTGCTTCCATTGTTTGTCTTTAATTAGAAAAAGAAACAATTCCAACTTTAAATAGATAAGAAATATTTCCAAATCTTAAATAGCAAGGTTCATAAGACTACCAATATAGAAAGTCACCTACTTTTCCTCTCCATACCTATTCCAACATCAAGTCAGTTATCTTTCCAATTCAAGTCAGAAGCTGAATGCTGAACTTGCTTACCAGTTTGTTACTAGTATTGCAGAGGTGGGTAGGGTTTGGGAATCTGGTTCTTGTTGATTTGACTAATAATTTTCTGTATTGTTTTACACACATTATTTTCAACATAGAGAATACTAGATGAAAGCTTGCTGTAAAGAGCACTATTACTGGGAACAACCCATATGCAGGAAGTTCATCTAATTTTGCACAGCAGGAATTAGAGGGCCAATGACCATCTTGGCCAGTGCTGGCCAGGATTAAACATGGTAATCCTGGCAAACTATAACTTCTTGATAGAGTGCTAATGTGTCAGTGTCCATTACTGTGTTCAAACATAGGGCAATAATTGCAGTTTGTGAATCTTTCAGAAAACATAAAAACTTCTAGGCATAAAGGTTTATTAGTATCTCCCTATAGATGAGAAGACAAACACAGACTTTAGAAATGTTATGGTAGGACTCACCATGCACATACTCTCTATGAAAAAACATCGACGAACAATGCTAATGTTTTGGATTCTTTCTGTGCATTCTCTACTTCCTTCCTAGATCACTTGAAAGATAAGTTAGAAGAATACATGGCCAGATTTTCCAAAGTGAGAATTGTTCGCACCAAGAAAAGAGAAGGACTCATTCGGACCCGACTCTTGGGGGCATCGATGGCGGGAGGAGAGGTCCTGACGTTCCTGGACTCCCACTGTGAGGTCAATGTGAACTGGCTGCCCCCACTCCTTAGTGAGTACACATCATAAGGTGACACCATGGGAGCCAGGGGGAGAATTGTGGTCCACCAGAGGGAGTGTGTGGTATTTTTAATTTAATTTGCAATCAGCAAGGCAAGAGACCCCTTCTAAAACTTTTACAGGGAGAATCTTTAATGCTGTCTTATCCACTGCTGAGGATAAACAGGTAACTATAGAATTGCATTTAAATTGACATTTTAGATAATACCAACTACAATCTTACTTCAGGTTTTAAAAGGTTTCATTTATCTTAGATGTTCTCTTTTATTGCAGTTATATTCACTGGGTAAACACTAAAAGAAAAAAGTAGCCCAAAATGTTTTTATAGCCATCCTGTAACTACAATGAGATTAAAATATAAACACACACTTCAAAAAATGTTACAGGACTGCCAAGAAAGGAGGAAAGAAAATTATTTAGCACCAACATACAGTTAAAATATAAGCACCTCCACATTGCCCAAAATATATAATGTTATTGCTTTTATGTTCATTCTGCTTTTACCACCAGCCTATATCCCTAAATATAAAAACCCCCATATTGCACAGAGTCCCCTCAAATGCCACAAAATGCTATCTAGTTAATATGTCTTAAATGTTCACAGTATGGCTAAGAGAAGGGAATGAAGAAAGCTAAGTCATATCACACTTGAACTGTCAGAAACAGGAAAGTCTGCAAGTAACTCAAGCTCGAAAATACACATGTGGCACAATTCAAGCTTCATCTCTTTTTTTATTTATTTTACAATGAAGTCAGATACATGAGTAAAGTTCAGTTGCAGATGAGAAATAAATTGCAAGCCTGAAAAAATGCTTTTTTCTAAAACACACGTTTCCTTCATATTACACTTCTTCCTACTATTCTAGATATTGGTAAATCAACTTTTATTGCAAATATATACCTGGCCTTAGAACTAAAGCCAGTAACAACTGCCTCCACAATAGCTTTCTCAAACACAATGATTTTCTATTGATCATTGTGCAGGATTTCAGCTCAAACCAACAAAGTTCCATTAGTGAAAGATGTGAGGGAAAATCAACTGAAACTGTATAGGATTTAAAATAGGAAACAACCAGCAACTAAGAGCCCGACCACATCACCCAATCCACATACCTACCCCTGTACAGATGACTGCCTGGCGGCCCTAATCAACAGAAATGTTTTAGTGCTCCTACAGTCAGAGACTCCTCTGAGCTTTTAATTAAAAGTACCTTGTCCAAGGACACAGCAATTTAGAGCTTCATCAGCAACAGTGAGATTCCCTCAAACTGAATTTGACCTATATGGTGTTGAATATTCAAAGAAGTCAGCAAAAGACCTTATTTATTTATGAACCAAAAAAAAAATCCCTAAATGCCCATTGTCAATTCTCTGGTTGTGGCTCTGATTTGAAGAACAACACAAAGATAAAGATAGGAAAAAAAAAGAGAGAAAATAAGAAAAACCCACAGCCCACTTTTTCTCATTAAAGCATTTCATTTCCTGGAGGTCTGATGGATAAGAAATGATTCAAACTTAGGATCACTATCTTTTTTATTTTCCTTTATCAGTATCTTGACACATCATCCAAAATGAAAAAACAGGCGGAGCCACAGTTTCCTGGTTCATTTTTCACCTAGGGATTATACCTGAATTTCAATTTCCCATTAGGAGTCCATTTGTTTGATTCTTGGAAATTGAAATGTAGATTCAAGCCTTGGATGAAAACTTAGTTATTCTGCTTTCACCCTAAGGTAGTACATCTGGATGAGAGCTAAAAGGAAATTTGAAGAAAAAATTGAAAGTGAATTTAATGAACTCACTCTCTTTGGGTCACCTTGGGACTCTTGTTGGTCAAACAACTTGTAAATCAACCTGATTCTGGATTTGATTGAAGAAAGTCACTGAAACCTTAATGCTAAGATACCTGTAGAGGTGATAGAAATGTTTCAGGCAAAGCAACAATGGTCCTCTCTGTCAAGGACATCTCTGCAAAGACACCATTTAGATAAAGATTAAAACCCATTATAAGGCTTGCTCAGGTGAAAATCCGAGCCCTTGGTGCAGATTAACTTGAAATAGTGCTGCGTTTCTGAGTCTGTTAATTACCTGAAATCAGATACAGGGAACCTCTGGGCTCTCAGGTTTATTGGGTTCAGGCCATCTAAAATCACAACACTTTTCTAGGCCCCAACATTCTGCACTCCTCCTGTCCCGTTTTATTTTCTTTTCATATCATGTATCACCTCCTAAAACACCACATTTAATTATTTATTAGTTTACCATCATTGCTCCAGTCCCGAAGTTAGGAGTTCTTGTGGTATAATTCATTGTTCTTACCATCCAGAAAAGTGACTAACACAATATTTTCTGTTAAATAAATAATTATTGGGATATGAAAGAATGAATGAATGAATGAGAGAATAGGTATGTAGATCTAGAGGGGAGGTCTTCTATTGGATTCTATAGTTTCTACACACTGTTTTATCAGTGCCATTACATAATGTTGCTTGTCATTATGGCCAATAAAACATTACACTTCCTGTTCTATGCTTAGGAGAAATTTGTGAAACAACTGTATAGTTTCCTAACTGTAAGAATTTTATCCTTGACAGTTTTCTTCACTCCTGGATATCTGGGGAAAATATGATATGGAAATAGCCACTTCTAAGTGGGCTATCCATTATTCTTTCATTTAATGGTACACACCACATCCAAAGATTTTCCAAATAAAAAGAGAGCAAACGTTCATATCCAACATTCTGTCTATCAGACAGAATTGGTTTGTTATAATAAATATTGATTAAATACACATTCTCAGGAAGAAAGATACTTTTCTAGGTGAACCAAAGTAGCAAATGCCAGTTCCATGTGCTGGCTCTTAATGCCATCACAATAATAATACTAAGAAAGGAAGGTACTAGAAGCAAAAGAAAAAAATCACTTTGTGAAACTCTATGCACCAGAAAGGACAGTTTTTGACTGGACTTTAAGCAGGTGCCACATCCTGGTAATTCTGAAAAGTTGAGTGACCCTTGACAAGTTAATTTACTAATTAAATTCTCTAGGCTCAATTCCCTAATACATAAATTGGGAATCAAAATAACAGCCACCTTATAGGATTGCTAGGACTATTTGAAATAGTATAAGTCATTTAGTGGTTAATCAAGAACATAGTATTAGCAGGAGTTATAGTAGTGTCATACCACTTAGTACATTTTTATATAATGAAAGAAAATAAAAATGTATGGCTCAGGTAGAGTCTATTTCAAAAAACAGTGGCGAAATAGGTTTGGCAAAATCTCTGGCAAACATAAGAGCAAAGAATTTTATATAAAAGAACTATCAGCATTTAGGGGGTAACAGTCATGATGACTGTCATAAGATTAGATGATACTAAAATCATAAAGATAAATATTTACATTTTGGAACCTGCAGAAAACTGGCCAGTATTTTCTCAGCAGGCTGTAGCTGTTTGCTTGAAGAAACACAGTACTGTTTATACTCTGCACATGTTAGATACACGATAAAATGACAGATTGGGGACAGGTCAAAGCAAAAATGTGACAGAAGTAGAACTAAATGGATTTCTGCAAGTCTCTCTGGGACATAACTTTCTTAAAGGAAAATAGAACAACTCTAATTGTACCTAATCACTGTCCCATCATGTTAAGTCTGGCATTCAAACAGAGATTCCTGCAAAGTGCTCTAATGAGTCCAGGCTGCAAGCTTGTGCATGAGTGAGGATCTGTAGGCTTCTCTTTGCTAAAAAAATGATAGATGACCGAGGCAGGCATGTCATTTCCTATTTTGTGCTTTCATTTTTCAGACCAAATTGCACTAAACCACAAAACCATCGTGTGTCCCATGATCGATGTCATTGACCACAATCACTTTGGGTATGAGGCACAAGCTGGGGATGCCATGCGAGGAGCCTTCGACTGGGAAATGTACTACAAAAGAATCCCCATCCCTCCAGAGCTCCAGAGGGCAGATCCCAGCGACCCTTTTGAGTGAGTAGCAGCTGAGGGAGGGGCCAAAGGAGAGAGGGCAGGTAATTCATTCCAGGTGGGTCAGACTGAGGACCCATAAGGACAATTATCTCTAATAAAATGGAATAAAATAGGCAGCAGTAGTATGCAAAACCCCAGGGCAAGGTCAGACTTACAAAGCTGTAGAAAATTACAAACTGCATTGGATACATGGTTCACCCCTTCTCCAACTTTGCTCTAAGCTAGAGACAAGTGGTAAATAGAATAATCAGGAAAGTCTGCATCATTAACAACAAATGCATGGGGAAAGAATGAATGTTCCCTTTTTAGAGTTCTCTTCTTATTTGCAGTTCACCTTATTCTTTTTACTTGTCCCTGAAAGACTACTGAAATTATTTTATTTTCCTATTCTTGGGCATTGATACAAAATACAAACCAATATTTAAGCCTACATCCTATACTTTGTTGAGAATTGTCTGCTTATTATGGAAGTCAATGCTTCTGAGGTGCTTTCATAACTTTAACTTGGGGAACTCATTTGAAATGATATATAAAGAAGAAATAATCTTCGATAGCCCTGCCCCTAAAATAAATACAACATAAAGAATTTACAATAGTAATCTATTGATTAATTCCTATAAAACTAAGTCCTTTTCTTCAGTACAGACATAAGAATTGTATATTTTAAGAAAAATAAAAGAAATATGGCTTAGTTTAAAAATCAGAACCATTAAGGGTAAATGGCAAACTTTGACAGCCAAAGGATTGCCCAAGTCATACCCTAGTATCTGTCCCCCATACTGCACCCTTTGATCTCATTAAAACTTTTATAACTTAAAAAATATTATATAGGGGCCGGCGCTATGGCGTAGCAGGTAAAGCCACCACCTGCAGTGCTGGCATCCCATATGGGCACCAGTTCAAGTCCCGGCTGCTCCACTTCTGATCCAGCTCTCTTCTGTGGCCTGGGAAACCAGTGAAAGATGGCCCAAGTCCTTGGGCCTCTACACCCACATGGGAGACCCAGAGGAAACTCCTGGTTCCTGGCTCCTGGCTTTGGATAGGCACAGCTCTGGCTGCTGCAGCCATCTGGGGAGTGAACCAGTGGATGGAATACCCCCTCCTCTGCAGCTCTGCCTTTCAAATTAATTAATTAATTAAAAGAGAGAAAAAAACTACTGTATATTTTTCTGAGTACAAGAAAAATGTCTGTAATCACGGTTTTGCATACTCTGTAAGAATCCATTTTAAATACATTAAGATCAATATTATCTTTTTTAAGATTTATTTATGTATTTGAAAGTCAGCATTCCACAGAGAGACAGATCTTCCATCCACTAGTTCACTCCCCAGATGACCTCAATGGCCGGGGCTGTTCCAGGCCAAAGCCGGCATCCAGGAGCTTCTTCTGGGTCCCCTACGTGTGTGGCAGGAGCCCAAGTACTTAGGCCATTTTCAGCTGCTTTCCCAGGACAGCAGCAGGGGTTTGGATTGGAAGTAAAGCAGCTGTGACAAGAACTAGTACCTGTATCATATGCTGGCATCACAGGCAGTGACTTTACCCTATATGCCACAACACTAGCCCCAAATATTATCTCTCCATTATAATATGGGTCATGAAATTTTGCTGTAGAGAAGCCTACTGGGTACAAAAACCACTTCTGCGGCACCAACACTTTAAGTTATGGTAAACATTTCATAATTACCAGGAAAATGTTTCCTCCAGTTCTAGGATTACCTGGTGATCAACCTAATAAAATGGCAGAGAAGTCACTTCTATAAAACTGGACACCCTCAATACACATCCAGAGCTTCTGGCATCTGGGATCTTAGAAACCTCTCAAACTATTGGAGAGACATTGAAAACAAATCAGAAGAAACTTTATTACATGCTGCAAATGCTTAAGCCAAAATTTCATGAATGTATGAATTTGCTAGGAAAGATTTTGGTGACCTTAGTAAGTAATATGCACTTGAAACAGACCAAGCTGAGTGATGCTCTTTGGATGTCCCTGATGGCAAACATAGAAGATCTTGGCAAAGGGGCATAAGGTGAGATAAAGTGTAAGTGTACAATCTAGTATTATCCATGTCAGTTTAATTTAGCCATCCCACAATGTACTTATCTTTCAACACTAGTATTGTGCATCACAAATATATAAAGTCTGCTTTTATCCAAACAGGAGAAAATAAAAAAAAAAAAACTACTTTAAGTACTAAAACAAACAAACAAAGTGGGGCGGGGGAGATCCAAAATGACCCTGAACACAATAGAACTGTTATTTGATGGAGGCTGACAACAGAATAAGCAAGCTTCAGTTCCTACTCTGAGGTTACCACATTTGCAGGGCTGGAATTCATCAATGATACCGTTCAAAATACTCCAATAGTGACTGATTAAAATGACCTTTTATGTTACTTCCACTGTGACAGTAGAGTGGAGCTTCTGCTTTCTGAAACAGTGAGATCAAAATGCTACCAAAGGAACCTCCAGTGGTAAAAAATACAAAAATAGTCTTAATGCTTGCATTGACAATGGAAATTTTGTTCTGCAGACCCTGGCTGTGGCTAGCCTAAGGTCAAGCACCCTGCTTAACCCCAGAGCTTGCAGAATCCGTAACTTTCAGAATTAGAATACCTCTTCTTCCTTGTCACCTACTTAGGCATTGCTTTCCCATCAAAAACTTCATTTGTCTACTGAATATTACAGTTTTTCTGCTTTAAATCCTTTTGATTCTTAGAAATGTGGACACTTCAGCCTTTTGTAATAAATGTAACTTCCGGGAGGTGTCCACTTTGATCTTAAATACTGCATTTGCCTTTCTGGTAATAAAAGAGTAGTAATCCAAGCAGCTCTGAACAGTATATGAGTACAAAGCAATTCTGTTATCACACCTGAAAGTACTCATAAACAGACACGCTTTAGGCTAAAACTTACTTCTTTAGATGTAAAGCTTCAAGATACACAGAAAAAATACAGTCTGTCTATATATCTTTCTCATAGTCTTTCATGTTTTAAGACATTTCTGTCAGAGTGTGTGGTTTTCTGTGGGAAGAGGGGGAAAGGAGGCCAAAAAGACTAGAAGGAAATTAGAGAGAAATATTTAAATGTATTGCAAACCCAAAACTTTTCAATACTAAAGCCAAAAGTTTAATTTCCAGCAGAAACAATGTTCTCAAGTGGACTAGATATCTACATTTCCCAAGCATATTCTCCAAATTCCACTTAGTTACTAACTCAACAATTCTCATTAACGATCCACTGTTCTAGGCACTTTGAGGACAGTGAACAAAACAAAGGAGTTTGCATTTTAGCCTGGTGGGATGGATACCCCACCAGGATACCCAAGGTGGGGGGGGGGGTGTCCTGTAGTCCTCTTCACTTCACAAACTGTGGCTCTGAGGGGGAAGAGCATGGGGGGTGGGCAAAGCAGTGACCTTGACTACCAACAGTCTGCCCTTCCTGCGTTTTTCAAAGTAGAGGTAGAAGCTCATTTTCTAAGTTAAGTCCAAGTGACCACTGATGCCCACTAATTATTGTGCTGTTATGTGATGCTCTCGGGAGCTGCAGTGCTACAGGGGTTGGCTGCCCAAGCTATACCCAGTCCAGGACCATGATGCTTGTTGCCAGCTGTGATTTCCCACAAACTCCAGAGTGCTCATAATCCGCTGCCTGGGTTGCCCAGGGCACATTAGGCAGCCACACTATCTGAACTGTTTAAGTTGTTTCAGATTCAGTGCTACACATAAATTCTGTCTCCTTCAAGTAGATGTGTCACCAATTTTTCCTAAAGCAGGACACAGCTTCAGTGTGCCAAGAGACAGTGTTTTAACTTTGTGTTTCAGCTACCTGGCCTTGCTCTAAGACTGAAAAAATGCTTGGGCTATTTCTGCATCCTTCATAATGAAGCTCTTCTGGAATCCAATTCCTCAGAGAGCTCAAGTCAAACTTTTTAACAGAAAGACTTTGATAGCCTGAAGACTTTTAAAAAAAGCAGTGAGGGGCCTGTACTGTGATGCAGTGGGTTAAAGGCCCAGCCTGCAGGGCCAGTATCCCATAGGGGCACTGGCTGGAGTCCCCGCTGCTCCACTTCTGATCCAGCTCCCTGCTAATGTGCCTGGGAAAGCAGCTGAGGATGACCCAGGTGCTTGGGCCTCTGCACCCACTTGGGAGACCTGGAAGAAGCTCGTGGCTCCTGGCTTCAGATCGGCTTAGCTCTGGCCGTTGTGGCCATTTGCGGAGTGAACCAGCTGATGGAAGACTTGCTTCATCCAACAGTGAAGTCTGGAGCAATGGCTGACGGGCCCAGACGGGCACTGAGCCAAGCGAGCTAGAAATTCTTCACTTCCCACCAGGCTCCCAAGACCACGGAGGGAAGATGTGCTGTACAGTCGAACTGCATGCACCCCATTCCCCAACACATTTGTGCAGTTTTAGAAGAACCTTTTTAGTAACTGAGAGAGCACATGGGGTGAGTTAGTCACGCTGCGCAGGGTCCAGCCCAGAGACCGTCAGCGCGGTCAGCTGCCTCCTAGGTTGCGCAGTATTACCTGTGGCCAGCACTAAGGCCGGGATACCGTGAAAGCGCACTGGGCCCCGGCTGCGGCCGCTCTCGCATGCCACCATTCTGCACGGATAGTGGACATTCACACAGGTCTCACAGGTGCCGAGCGGGGGCGTCATCATCAGCCCGAAGTCCAGGGCTAAGCGTCCCAGAGCCAGCATGGCAAGGCGGCACATGGAGCTGTGGCCCTCGTCATGCAGGAACAGGACGCCCAGGTGTGTGTTCTGCACCTCCCTCAGTGTCAAGTCTGCCCCATACATGTCCCGGTGGCCCCGTGGCTCACCACACGTGGTAAGGTGCTGGCACAGGTAGCTCTCCCTGGCCTGCACCGCGGGGCCGACCACCTCCGGACACCAGGCCAGCACCAAGCGCAGGGTCTCGCTGCCTGTGTGCATGTGCACCACCGGCAGCACCGAAGTCCCCTGGTCGGGTGGGGGTAAGCGAGGCACTGCCAGC